TCTTGAGGACTTCTGCAAGGCTAATATTAAATCAAATAGGTTATTTGACAGAGAGAAAGTGGCAATATCCACCTAAGGCAAAATAGAAATGGGCGTGAAGTTTCTTTCCACAAATTAACTGATTGGGAAAAGCTAGCATTTCATACCTCTGTTACAGCTGGAAGTGGGGAGAGCTGTGAAATAATCCCCACTAAGAGTGTGAGAGGACAAACTAATTATCCTTACAGTTTATATGATAATTAAGGGAAGAAAAGCAGAAGAGATGGCCTCTTCCTTCTGCCTGAGTCCTGCATAGGCTCCTTCACCAAGCAGAGGAAGAGATTTCTGAGTCAACATGTAAACTACAGATGCAAACAAACTCACTAGAACTAGCTGCAAGTGGAATATTAAAAGCTAATGAATCAGCAAGCCAGCCCCTCCATCCCGCTTCCAGCTGCAGAAGCTTGATACTGAGGCGTGATAAACTGGTGCTCTAAGAAGTGGCCACAGCACAGCATGAAGAACTCATCAGGTGGAGGGAAGGAAATACCCGTCCACACTTTCGCTGTTCCTCACTGTTTGGGTGACCACCTGTGTCCTCCCCATCCGCTGCAGACTTGGCTCCAGCCGTGGTGGCGCTGCCTGAGCGGGGTCCCTGGGAGTCACTGCTCCCTGGCCCCACAGACACCACAGCGGCTTCTTCAGGCAGCGACTGGACAAGAGTCCTATTTGTTTAGCTAGAAGTAGTCCATAATAAACAGCCTAAACTCCTACTGTAGGCAATCACCCTTTGGTAAAGTTTATTTAATACAAGGTTCTGCTTATCACAGTTTACATTATTTCTTTGAGTTTTTAAGTAAAACTTTAAAGAAAAATGTATAAAAATGATCCAGTTACACATCTTATAACCCAGGACAAATATACATGCATAAAGGTATGTCATCAAAGCAACATAAAGCAGATTGATGCCAACATTTAAAATGTTCAAGCCACCAATAGGGAAATACAGTGAAAGAGCAGGATTTTGAAGAATTAAATCTGTTTCCAGTGTTTCCACCAGCTCTGGTATATGTGCTTTAATAATGTCCACAATAGTGAAGCACAAAATCCCCACGAAGGATGAACAACTTGTTCGTTTCATTTTAATGTCCCTGTGAAATTATTTGCAAACTCCCATATACTTTTCTATTTGTTAATGCCATAAATATAAATGCTTAAATAAAAATATATTTGCCATTCATCAATTTTTAGTGCAGTTTATTGCTTCTCCAACAAAATGTTCAATATGGGATTCATTTTTATGTGTTACGATGGGTGTTTACATTTCTCTCTTTTGTATTACAAGAAAAGAACATGTAGCAAACTCAGCTTAAAATCCTACTTTGTCACATTTCATTGCCCTCTCCAGACTGGAAATACATGCCCACAGGTTTTGATATCTCAGAAACTATGCTTATATAGAGATATATTTTCACCATGCACAAGCGATTGATAAAGTAATTTAAGGAAGTCTAATTGGTATTTAAAATAAAACGTCTCCTCTGCAACAGATTTGGGGAAGGTGTTCTGCACAGCCTTCCTCAGCAAAGTCTGGGGAAATACTTCTGCTCAAAGACGATGATTTTTGCCCTTTGATTTACAGCTACCAAGCCTGAGAAAGCTGGGATTAAACAAGCCTCTCGATGTTATGTTGTTGCCGACTTAGTGAACCAGTTTGGACAACTCTTTGATACACCAAGTAGCACATAGAGTAGTACACGAAAACCCCTTCCGAGGATTCCAGCTAAGCACAGACCCGGCACCACCCACAGCCCAGTTGAATGCTCCTCACATGGGGCAGCTGAACCTCCCACCAGAACATGTTGGAGCTTTGACCAGCAGGGGCAGGCAGGGAACGGGTCCCACCACCCGTCCCCACCAGCCCCGCCATCTGTTCTTTAAGAAACAGACAGTAGCAAACCAAACCCGCATCCTCGGGGGATGCTGCACGCTCACCGTCGTGTTTTCTCTTCTATCTTCCAGTTCTTTCTCCAAGGACAAATCTAGGCCAAGCTCTCGCAAACTTTCCCTGTTGAACAGGGACGAGCACACCGATTCTTTATTGCCATCTAGTGACCAAAACTATTTCCACTGTTATACCAAAAGGTTACAACCCTGAGGAATTCTGAAACCAACAAGCACAAAAGGTAAAAGGAAGCTTGCTTTTCACCCTTATCTTTGTGCTGCCCTGTCCATATCCCTCAGACCTCAGATCTGCAGTAAGTGTGGGACACTGCTGCTTCCAGGGAGTCCTTTGTCTCTGACATGAACAGGTCCTTTACCCTCCCTCTAGAGCTCAGCAATCTAGAAAGCGGTTATGCTGCATGAATGAATAGCCTTGATTTGTCCCCAGGGAGCTCATGGAGCTGGGCAACAGGGGTCTCTTGCTAGGCAAGGTGAGCACAGCACCCCAGGACCAGGGTGACATTTCGTGGAGCCACAACAGCCATTCCCTCACCCTGGGCGAAGGAAGGAGTCAGATTGTTTCCGGGGGCTTCAAGGTCCTTCAGAGAGGTATTTTCATTTGGCGCGTATTTTCGGGGGGGGTCACAAATGGCTCTCTTCTTACGAAGCCAAGCTCCTAGCAGCTCGCTCTCACATCTGCACGCTGAGCACCAAAGCATTGCAGGGCAACAGGAAGAGCTGAGGAGTGCTCCAGTCCACCCGGCTTGCTAGTCTCTGTATGCAGATGTTGTTGTCCTTAACCTCGCTGGGAGCCTGAAGTTACTGATTACTGAATGCAGCAGTGCCAAAGGCTGGGTCACCTCGGACGTGGTGTGTCTGGTTCTCCTCCCTCCGGAGCCCAGGTCTCCAGCCATGACCCGGTTCAGCTCATGCCAGGACCACCAACAGCCACACGATGACACTGCTGCATAAACTGCAGAGAGGAGAGGACCTGCCACTTCTGTCATGACCTTGGCCTCCTCCCTCCTCCCCCCGCAAGGCTGTAAGGATGAAGCGGCCTTGCGCTCTGAGGTAGGGTTTGTGACACCTTTCAGCCTCTGTTTCCACTGCGGCTCCTGTCTCGCAGGACGAGCCGTGACCCCATGGCTGGCCTCTGCTGTCCCACGGTGGAGGGCAGCCTTCATCTGCAGCCGTATCATGGTGACAGGGCTGGTGCGAGCACCATCCCCTCACCTGGCTCTTCCTGTCCATTTCTTCTCCTGTCTGGTAAACCGGGCTGTTTCTAGTGCACAGCAACTTCCTTTGCACTGGGGCATCAAAGCTTTCAAAGCTCCTTTTCAAAACGGATGAAAATATTTTCCTGTCTTCACTGTATAAATTATAGGTCAACACAAGTACTTCAATTCCAGCCATCAGCTTATAAGATTGGACACAGTTAAAGGCGGGTAACAGGAAAATGGCACGTTGTAAAACTGTTCTGTTAACCAATTTTAGTGTTTATTGTTATAAGGTGCCAAGCAGCAAAGGCTGCTTCACAAACATTCACAGACATTACCATAAAGTATCCACTCAGTCTTTGTTTAACTTGGCCACCACTGGACTCCCTCCATTCCCAACAACGAACACTTTGGATGTGTCTGCAATCTCCCCAGACTAAGCCGTTTCTTTTGTAGTGGTTCACTTAAGTGGAGAGCAGAATTTAATGGGTTTTAATTTCACTGGGCCATGCCCTGAAAAACTCTAAGATTTCAGCTCTCAGTGAGGGAAAGGGGAATTTGGTGGAGCTCAGTATGACAAGGAATTCCAAATTCCTTCCTTCTCTCCATCAGAACAAACATTTTAAAGAAGCTGCATTCCCTGCTGAAGCAGATGGCAAAAGTACATTCCTGAGGGAACTTACACAGAAATATGACATGACAGCAGGTGTCGAGCCCCATCACTTCCACAGTTTTCTGGTGAAACTTTTAAAAGGCCTCTCTTGGTAAGGAATAAAACTCTGACTCATTCTTTGTTCTTGATCCAGAAAGTCACTTTTATTTGTCGATAAAGCTGTCACACTTTGAGTGCCTTGGGCTAAATGAGCTGAAGCTTCAATCTGAAGACATGCCTCTATTTCCAGATTTAATCACAACTGCTCTAGAAAGAGGCTTCTGTAAAACAAACAAAGACCAGTTATGAGTGGTTTTAAAGTTCCAGCCTTTTTATGTCATCACTCAGTTGAACAATATAAAAAACCCACAATGCAATTCAAATAATGTGTGCAATTACCATGTACTTACTTTTACTTCAAGACTTGAGTCCTGCAATTCAAAACTAGACAAACCCCCTGTTTCTCACTTTGGTGCTTTCTCTCTTTAATTTACAGCAGAGGAAACTTTTACAGGGGGAAGTAATACCTCTTTTACTGAACCAAGTAGAAAAAGGGCAGGTTCAGAACAAGTGCTTTCACTTTCACTTAATTAACTGAACTGAGAGGAAATGATGCTGCCTAGGAGCTGAAAAGTAGAGGGGTGTGTTAGTGAAGAGAGATGTGTGAGGATTCACAGCCCGTCTGGGGCAGGATGAGAAAAGGGACTTACAAACCACCTATGGATCAGTGCAAATGCAACTGGAGGTATTGTCTGGCATAATTATATCAGTGCTTCTACTGAATATGCAATTTTTACTATGGAGGAAAAATAATTTTACTTCTTATCTTCTGATACTACTCTTTAAGTCTCCATTTGGTGTTGGAGCAGACAGACTGGGGCACAACATCTGTTCTGTGAAATCTTTTGTGCTGATCTTTGCTTACAGTAGGGAAGATACTGCACTGCTCATAGTAGCATAATTTGAGAGACACAACATGTATTTGTCTGAGTCAAGAGAGTGAAAACACTGGCTCTGAAGCAATGCTTGCTTCATGCAACCTCATGGGAACCTACTGTGTGTTGGAATCTAAAGAGCTTTGTGATATTGTGAGTATTAGCATTTCTAGATGCACTTCCTCTGCAAAATATCCCATTGTTCCTCTCAACCCAATGTAGAGTAATCCTGAGTGATGAATTCTGTTCTAAATTTCTGAAATTTTGCAGTACCTTTTTCTTCACGGCTTGATTCTTGTTTCACCCTGGCTTTTTTCAAAGATGTCAAAAATAGACATTTGTTCTAGAAAAGTAGGTAAAAGTAATATCGGGGGAGAATTTAACATTATCTTTAACATGCAGTCATATTCAGTAGGGAGGCAAATTGGGTCCCTTTGTTGGGGTGGAAAATTACCTAGAGTTCCATCTCTGATGAAGCTGAGATACAATCATACTATTTGCTTAGCAGGAACAATATCAGCCTTAAGCAAGTAAGGACAGTTGCTGCAAACCTTACAGGATTTGAGCTTAAAATTAATGGCTTGAGTACTGGTTATTATTTTCCCAAAACTCAAGCAGATTATAGGCAATGGGTCTTGTTTGTGTAGATGTGAGAATAAAAAGTCAATGGAATTAACAAACCCCACGCTTTACAGTGAGAGTGTGCCTCTGGTCAGTATTTCAAGAAGCTGTGGAATCTAGAAATGGGCACTGGGACCCCAGGCAGCGTGGAGGTAAGTAGTGACGCTGTGAGCACAGCTCTTGGCATGTAGGATGCCGAGTCCAACGTGTCAGTACTCACCTCATGTTTCCAAAGGGTTGGAAGTAGCAAGAAGAATGTTGCAATGAACGCAGGTCACCAGCATGTCAAAAGACTGGGTGTCCTTAAGAGCTCGAGGTGATGTGGAAAGTCAGTCTCTTGTGGGAGAGGGAAAGTCAATCTTTTTGTTCTTTGAGAGTTCAAGCAAAGTGTTGGAGGTCAATGGCTGGTTCCTTTCTTTCCCTTTGGGACACACATCTTTCCGTGCCATTGCATTCTCAGAGCAGGAAGAAGGAGCCAGACAGGAAGATTGCGATGGATCACTGCTGAGTTTTGAAGCTGACTGGCTAGCAAGAACCTTTGTCAGCTTATGAGCTGCACTGCATTTATTCTGTTAAAAGAGAGTATGCATGATGAGGTGAAGACTGGCATTACACCCAGCTGTGTGGTATGCTGTGATTTGCAACATACGTGAGTCATGGGGAGGGTCAGTGGACACCACCTCACAGCGATGCTTCAGCTGAACACCTTGTATCATGAAACTATAGCCTGAAGAGCCAAGACACGCTGACCTTTCTTACCTCATATATAGCTTTCCAGAGAAATAACCTGGCTGGAAATTAAACACAGACAATTCTCTTGCACAGTTTCAAATGTGCTTACCAGATATTGGGAGTACTGGTCATCTCGGAATGACTTATTGCACTTCCAGTGAAGATTGCCACCAGTACCTTCAGAAGGAGAAAAAATGGAAAGAAACACGGTAGTGTCACTAGTCTAGATCTAAACAGGCTGCTCGGATCCACTTATGGTCACTGTTTATAGAGAAACACCAAATGTTGGTTCCAGTGGCCAAGAGGAATTAGAGCTGTGACTGCATTTTGCTCTTGGCACCACTCAGAACCAATCTGCCACCCCTTCTCTCAGACTTCAGGATATTTGAAATTCCACTCCAGCTCCATGTTTTGTGGTTCAAAATGCTTCACTCATACCCTGGCCTAGAGAATTCTATTGCTAGGGAGTTTTCTTTCTACAGTTTATTTTGCCAGCCCCTGCACCTTCTGATGCCTGTTCTTTTCTGGAATCATTGACAGGATTCATGAATTTTTTGGCTTGACACAGTGCCCAATACCTTAGGCCTAATAAATCTCCTCTCAACTTCAAGAAACCAAGGTATGCATCACTGGCTTTTTATATGAAGTAGGAGGAAAATCTAAATCTTTTTTTCCTGTGCGACAAACAGAAAGAGGAAGAAGTTCCACTTATTTCTGACAGAAGGAATTTCACTTTGAGGATGTGAAAGACATAAAAGAACATGGCCAAAGACCTACCAGTCAGTGGAGTCACTTTGGCTTTACAATAACCAGCATAATAGAAAGCAACACTTGGCCCTTTCACTGTAGTTGGTTAAACAGCAACCCCTTCTAGCTGAATTACTGAGAACTGTAGAGAAGGCAAGAGAAATTTCAGTGAGATTTAACAGAGTTGACCCAGTCCATGACAATGAGGAATTTCACTTACCAGTGGGGCAAATAGATGTTGGGTTAGTGGATGCTTCACTGGTTTGAAAGTTCACATTCTTATGATAGGACAGATCACTGTTCTGACAAATACCTTTGTGTTTGTCCTGATCTTTGTACATGATGCATTTGTTACACTCCCAACACCGCTCTGTTCGGCTGGCACAGGTGCTCAGGTGTTCCAGCTTGTGGAAGGACATTTCAAGCTCACAAACCCTGCATTTCACTGCTTGTTTGTGGCATTCCTTGGTCTGCACATGAAAAGAGGAAATTATTGCAAATTTTCTACCAATATTAAAAGAAGGCATTGGGTGAGAGCAGCGAGTGGCTGTTGAAGAACACCCTCCTTAAGGAGTATCTAGACAGCCCAATGCAGGCTTACCTGTATTAGGAGTTTGTCTATCTAAGCGATCTTTAATTTAGGATGATTTAGGCAATGTAAGGCAAAATGAGAATCGACAGCAGTGAAGATGTTACGTGTCAGTACAGGTTAGCAACAGAGGACAAGCCCACCTAGAAAATTCCGATACTTCAGCTACCATCACCAGGGGAAGCCTGCTGTGCTTTCACTACATTGGTTCCTTGAACTTGAAAGGTCCTAGACTGCAGCTAGCATGGACAGGCTGCTCTTGCTTCCTAGCCTCTGCCAATTCTTTTGTGTATCTCCTCCCTAGCCGTTCCTTTGACTCTTACTTTGTATAACCACTCCTTTGGAGAAGCAGGTGATATGAGTATGGGGGCAGGGTGGAAATGTCTTTAAGAAGCCCTCACAGCACATCAGCTTGAGGTGCCAAGGATGAGAAAGTAATAGATTATCTCGTGGAACAGACTGTCCCATCACAACTGGATGGGTAACTTCCATGTGCTATAGCTATTTACAAGGGGTTAAGGGTATGCCAAAACATTGCAACTGTTGAGAGGTTCAGTTTCTTCATGGTCCAGGATAGGAGTCAGGGATTTACACGTTTTTGCTGTTGAAACATTAGAGTGGTTCCTCATGGCTGGTACAAGGGGTCAGCGTAGAAGGTAAAAAGTACTGCACCTCCTTACCTCATGATGGTACAACTGGTGTTGCTGCATGCTTTGGTGACAAAGATTACATCTGACCTGCAGGCAAAGCATACAGCACTTCACTGGGAGCAGAGGAGGATGATAGTGCTCTCATATGTCAATACAATTACAAGCTGCTGAGATGATCGTCCCATGATTTCCATCCCTATCGTCAACAAGCCATTGGTGTGTTTTTGTTTCTCTGTCAGACCTGAGCTGTGTTGAGATTTTGAGGAAAACAGGTATCTGATGGTTTTGCAGGAAGCTGTCATTCTGTGAGAGGATTCAGTTCTCGAAGGTGCCCATGTGAAAAGCAAGGTGTGAGGTGAAATAAAGAGTGTGTATTCAAAATGTTGACTGAGGTTTAACTTAAAAGTATAAGCCCGATATTCAGCTAGTCTAAATTATAATGGCCCCTCTACAAATATAGGAAGTATGCTAGTTTTGTGTGGATTTGCCATGAAAGTGTTAAGTGTACTCATGTGTTCTCTTCTTAACGGAACACATAAGTGTACTCGTGTTCTGTGAAGTAACTGCAATCAATGGAATTGCTAAATCAATAAACTACTAAGAATCATGCCTGTGTATTCATGCTTCAACATAGTACATCTAGCTACAGGGTCCTTAATGCTACATTAAAAATGTTATTGCCTGGCTATATGAAGAGCTGATAGATAAATTCTGCCAGTTCAGTTTTGTTAGAAAAGTGCATTGATGTCCTAGCTGTGTACAAGCAAGGTTTCCGTCAGACCAGGTACTGCCTGCCTTCCTCTCATCAAATCATTTAACTTGCATGCTCTGGCTAACCCGCAAGCACTTGGAGCATGTATCCATACCTGAGCTGCAATCTGTATTGCTGAGGAAACTGAGATGCCACAGTGGAAGCTTTATTCTCTTAAGCTGACTGTGCAGTAAGATCAGAAGGTGCTGTAACCAAGCCTGAAGGGTTATATCAGACCCTTACAGATTTTCTGGTCAAAAAATTAGAGAAGTTCAAATCTAGTTAATACAGAGCACAGCACCATGAACATGCTACTCCAGGTCTGGCACAGCTTTTTGCTATTTGCAAGAAAGCCCTGAAGAACATGTAGCATTCCTCGCCTGCTTATGTGCTTCTGTTTGATGGGCCTTCATATCCTTTTGGGCAACTGGTTCATCGCATTCTGGACAGAGAGTGAGAAACCACCAACACTGGGCCTCATGGAGGAAGAAATTTGCAGCAGACACATCTCATTTACTCCATAAATGGGAAAGGGAAGAGTATGTGAACTGGTGAACACAGCTGCTCACTCACCACCACCTTAGGATGTCTGCCTCACTGTCCTCGCTGCAGGCACAGACACATCAGTGCACCAGGCCACAGGAGGTGAGTGTATCCCTCATTTCAAAGCCTTCACTGCAGCGGGCCCAGGACCCTGTGTCAGGAGGTATTGATGCCTGATGCAAAGAGTGATGGTCCTTAGGACATGGCAGCTGGAGGTAAGCCCATGCAACCTTTCTGGCCTACAACAGTAGGAAGACTGCCTGAAAAGGCATGTACATGTCCAGCTTTACTATTTCGAGGCGATGTGTGAGACAGAATACCTGATGCCATTTTGACTTTCTGCACTAGTCATTGTTCCAAGCTCTGACATTATGTCTGCACCACAGAACCAGTCTGCCCAACATATTTGCTGGTCGCTCAATGTGGAGGTAATGGCTAGCATGAACTCATGTAAATTAAGAGTAGCTGAGCCCTAAGGCAGAGTAGCCACAGCAAAAAAGCCCTATGGCAGTGAACTCTTCTGATTTTCTTACAGAAGATAAGTTGCCTCAAGGAAATCTGCTTTAGACATGAGGAGAAGCTTCTCATGGTCATGATGGGTAAGGAATGGAATGGATTTTCTGTGGGAATGTGTCATCTCTGTCACTAGAGTTTTAAAGAATTGGTTAGAGGCATCTATCAAGTTTTAGGCAAAGTACATATACCAAGGAGTCTGATCAGTGTGCAGCAACTGCTTTGTTCAAAGCACCCCCTACAACCTCTAGAACATAATGCTAGGGTCTCTGTGCAAGGCTAGGCATTGGTTTTCCTTTGTGAGCAGGTAAAATTGAGGCTCAGCTCATGTTTAACCTTTCTAAGTTCGATTCTTTTTTTAGTTGCAGTGCTTCATAGTCTTCATTGATAAAATTTGCCCATGGTCTAGCTACTAGTTGAGGCACACCGAGCTACACTGTCCTCATGGCCCCTTTCACCATTCTATTCTATGAGAGATGCCAATTACCCTAAAAAAAGTAATACTTCATCACTTAACTGCAAATGTAGCAACAGAAAGAAACATCAACCATGGGGGGAAACTGAGGCAGCAGCTGGGTTTGTCATGGTCTATGCACTGACTTCTCTGCCAGATACTGCAAAATTACCCACAGTAGTACTGTGTAAGAAGAGGACGTGTACCATGGGAGATCGTTATGGAAGAAACCAGCAGAGTAGCAGCAACCAGGAAATGTGAGAATGCAAACAAACCATTTTTGTTTACTACTCAGTGGCTAGTGTACACCCTCCTGCCATGTGGTTCTTCCTCTTCTCTTCTAGATAACCAGATAACGTTAAAGAAAATCCTAGAAAACTCTTCAGGTCTCCACACTTTGTAGGGATGGAGAGGGAGAAAGATCTCTTACCAGTTTTTGCAGAACCTGCTCTCTTCTGTCATTATTTTTCTTTTTATTCTTCTGGATTGCCTTTCTTCTGAGAGCAGAGAGAAAAAAAAGAAACTGAAAGCCTCTGGTACAACAACTCCTCCCTAAACAGCTGCTTAGCCATCCCTTAAAGGAGGAGCAGCAGCACTGCCAGACAAGTATTAGCTTTTAGTAGGAGTTCCACAAACAGGTTAGTTTGCTAGTCCTTAGAGAAACTATGAGGTGTCATCTTCCTTCCTTCCCAAGTAAATTTCATTCACAGCAGCCAGTTTACGCAGCAGGACCTGAGCTGGCAGCCATACAGCTCCACATTTTTGCATAGGGAACTTCAGAAGAAATTTAAATTAGAGAGAAAAGGACCAGAACTTCACATTTTCATTTCAGTGCAAGTGATTTTCTGATGGAAGGCCTAGCATCTCTTGTGCCAGCTACTGCAACTGATCCCTTACAGCAGCATGACACAAACAGCTCTTCTCTGAGGTCATAGGTCCTGCCTAGTGTGGAACAATGAGACACAGGAGATGCAGAAAATAAGAACTGACCTTCTTAGTCTGTAAAATGGGAACAAGAGTATTAATTCTTCTACTTTGCAGAGGTACTGGGAAGAGTAATTCACTAGTATTTGCATAATGTATTATAATGCCATACACAGCAGATGCCCCAGATGTTACTCAGAAACCAGTGTGGTTCATTTCCCATGCAAACAAGCCCCTTCTGTCCTTATCTTTCTCTGGGAAATATGAAAGAAGAAGAAGAAAAAGGAAGCCCAATAAGCCATTATTTAGACTTGGGAATAATGAGTGTTTATCTGGATTTTGTAAGACAAATTATGTAATGAGGCAGAGAAAAGGCTTTTGAACAAATATGTTAATGAGGTGGCAGCTAAGGGAAGGTTACAGAGTTGCCAATTCCAAATCACATTTTTGACTACGATTTTCTTTTATTTTTCATTCTCTCTTTCTTTTGTAGTCGTTACCCTGCACAGCATTCAAATGTGCTTTAGGGCTTCATGTAAACTATTCAGAAATTACCAACTCTAAGTCAAGAAAGCCTGATCAGCAGCACACACTGACTGAGAAAACCCCACTGACTCAAAATTCATAATGAGGGCTTTTATGTAGGAAGTTGTTGGGCACAGGGATTGTACTGAAAGGACTGTTCGTTCAGAGCCTCAAAAGCTTTTCTTGGAAAAGTATCAGATGCTCCATTGGGAACTTAGTTGAAAGATACTCCTAAAGCAACACAGTGGACTTGCAGTGGCTGGAAAGTACTGACTGGGGGGAAAACAGAAAGTAATGAAACATGGATTCTCTCTGAATGCTGGCAATAACTCTCTCCACTTAAATTCCGTGTAAACCTTCCAGTGCGTAACATTATTGTACAAGAGCTCCTCTAGGCACCTTTTTAAGTCAAGCATCACACAGAGGTAAGTTCTGAGCTGGTTATTTTTAAATGTGATTTTCAAAAGCCTGGGCAGAGGACACTTCTGCTGCTGCGAAGTCCTGGCGTGTCTCAGGGTCAGGGTTTTTTCATTTTTGTTTCTCAGTGCCAAGTATGATACATCTTACAGTCCTTGTTTAGTATAATTATGGTAAAACTTTTGTACCTCTGGGTGTTGCATGGAGCCTGCAACATGACTGTGTGGAGAGTTTTTGTCTTCAGAGGTAATAGCAGTTATCTAGGTCAAATGGACTGCTTTAAAACAGGCAAACTGTACTTGTGTGCTTGGGCAGCATTTGAATTAGTGGCAGAAAATATGTCTATCTATAATTAAACGAATCAGCTGGTACCTGGAAAGCCTCCTTGCCACAGACTATTCCTCTCCAGCACTAACAAGAGTTAACTGGGATGATTGTCTTCTTGTGAATAAGATATAACAGAAAAGCAGCTTCTTGGTAATGACCTGAACTATACTAAAACCTTTCTTTTCCAATTTTTCCACCTGGACTGATGACCCTGGAATTCCTACCTTCCAAGGGCACTTGATTTCTAGTCCCTTTCTACTAGCCAAAACAATGCAGGTCAGCCTTTGTTAACTAGTCTTCAGCAGTGCCCCACTCCTGAGTGGAACTCTTCACAGTGGTTTACAACATTGAATCTGGTGTCTTAAGTTCAAATGGGAAGATCACAAGACTCTGTGTGTGGTTTGATAACCACACTGTCAAGCTTGTCTATGAATCCACTGCCTTGAAAGGTGCGGCTGTTCCTGTCCCAGCTGTTCCAGTTCCCAGCCATAAGTGGCCCAGTCTCTTGAGCTGGCTTTGGTGCTCACTGAACACTTCATTGAATCTATTCAGCTCATTAACTCAGCAAAAAAATGTTCTGCTTTCTTTGTCAAGTTAGACTCCACTGAGCCCCAGAGCCACCAGCTGAGAAACAGTTAGGGAGCAGGGGCAGAGCAGTGGCAGTGAGCCATGGGATGGGCTTGGCTCTGTTATTGCACCATACCCTTGGTTCTTGATATGCTTTAAAACGCCTGTGTTTATTAGGGCAGCACAACAGCAAATGGGAAGTGGTATCTAGTAACCAAGAAAAGAGAGTGAGGTACAGGAGGCCTGATTCACCTCCTGGTTCTACTTCATGTTACGACCCATAACTAAGTCTCTTTGTAACACAAAGATCTGAGTTCCTTTGTACACTGATTTGAAACTTACTACCAAGAACAAGAGCAGCAGCAAATTTATTATTCAATGAGTAACAAAATTTAGACCAAATGCTGCTACAATCTTCCACTTCTAAATGGTGTCTGCAACCAAAAGTTACCCCATTTTACCTACCATTTACCATAATTTTACCTAATGTCTTTAAAGAAGTAGTAAAAGACCATGAAAGCACACATCTCGCATACATATTTGTAAATACTGCTCTGGTCTCTGCTATGTTCAGAGTTGTACTCACTGGAGGAAAAGATTCCTTTTTCTTGAAGGCCTACATTTAGTGCCAATTAGCGTGAGCTAAATTTCAGCTGTGGAAGGTTTTAGTTTGAATGCTCTCTTTGAACCATCTAAAACTCCTGTTGCAGGAGCTTTTGCAAGCGCGATTGGCTCTCTGCAGCTTCCTTTTGCCTGGCTGTCAGACTAGTTCTGTAAAGCAAGCAGCCAAGGCTTTGTCCACCTCTTCCTTGGCACAGTGAAGAGGAAGCTCATGTGCAAATTATGTGAAAGAGCTGCCATTCCTGTAGCACTCTCATATCCAGCCGGTGCCAAATGTATCTGAGTTGTAAGCACAGACTGAGGAAGGCAGGGAACAATTGGAAGACTTGCCAAACCGAACATGCTCCTCTGTGCTTCTCTCCGTTGGTGCATACAGACCCCTTAGAGAGCAGTGCCCAGCCTTGGCCTTCATTGTAAACTGCTCTCTTCTCCCGTTTCATCCAGTCATGCTCTCTCCTTCCTGCATCTTGACTATGCATTGCACAGCCTTAGCATCTCCTTATCTGAATGTAGGCATCTTCTCTCTTGTCGTCACTCAGTACTCTTCTTCCCACCCACGTTCTGTTGTTTATGATGATATGTGAATATGTGGTTCTAACGTGTGGATTCAGGCAACTTCTCAGCCTCCTGGTTCTTACAGTAGAGCATGAATTGACACATGAAAACCTCCAATGGTTTATAAAATAGTGATAGCGCTAACTTAAATACGAAGTGTGGATGGCAGTATAGCTTGAGCAAGGGGGTAACAAGGTCAGAATTTACCTTCAAGATTACAGGTTCAGTTCAATGCAAGACTTTGTCCCTGCTGTTCTGCAACAGCCAGCGGCTTTGCTTGGGTTTAGCTGAATCCTAGCAGACTCCACAGGAACTGAAGCTGGCACTAATGTGATCTCTCCTCAGCAGAGTCAGCACAGATATTTGTCATGAACACACATTTCACATGCACTCCAACAAACCAACCTACTCTCCTCCTGATGCAAACCTCTAGAAAAGGAGCCCACTTTTGCAAAAAAAAGTAGTGAAAGGAAAGTTGCTTATTTCTCTGGTCATGCTTAAGATTATTCCTAGCTTCCCCAGTCAAAGTGCTGGGAATGCCTCCACATTTAGGTTTCTAACCTCAGTTTATCAGTCCTGGCCTCGATTCACAAAAAGATTCCACTTGCTTAGTTTGGGACCCAGGTCTCACATAAAACCATGCTCAGATAAAGGTGATATAGACACACTTTCTTTCAAATATGGACTCAATGTTGTTCCTGTATTTCCCTCTCTCATTCAGCTGGTATTGGCCAGGCAGCTGCATGGGAAGAAGTGGGAAGTGGGTATTTATCTCTTAGGGTCAGGTACTTGCTGATCTTGATTGGCACCTCCCTCTTTTCCTCTATAATCTCTTGGGAGGCCTGCCCCCTATCGTCATCCCTGTCCCAAGTCAGCTGTTCCTAAGAACCCTAGGGAACACTGTGTTTCTCACACTCCTTCCCTTCTCCCCTCAAAGTACACCATTCTGCTTGGCAATTGCTATATGAACAGCAGAAAAGGGTGCTCCACTGTCTTTCAATCTGATTTCCTATTATTCAGATGCTTGGTTTTTTCTCTAAATCCTCTCTTTGTTTTGTTGAGTACTATAGAATGGACTTTGCATGGCACACCAAAGGCAAGTTTGCAATAATTTTGCGCAATAAGTAAATATGAATTCTCTTCTCTGTATTGGACACTGAGGCATGGACTGGCTAATTGAATTGCCTGCAGGAGTCCCTGATCACATTCCCAGCCACAAGAAGACTCCTTTCACAAGATTAGTCCATCTAAAGATCTCAACGCATGTTCATGGCTTTTCTTTTTCTTTTTTCTTTCCTGTACTGCATCTCGTAAGACAGCAAATCGTGTTTGTACTGGTCTGTCAAAGTGTGCCCGGTACAGCTCTCTTAGAGTTAACTCCGCATTTGCTTATTTAAGTGCTTGTAGCCCCTTTTCTTTGTTGACTATGGACCATTTTTTCATTGGAGACTGGCCACAGCAATGCAAGTTTTGGCCGATTCCCCACTTTCTGCTAGGCTTTGCACTGGTGTGAAGTTTCCTCTGTG